ATTAAATTTTATTAAATTAAATCATTCTTTATAATCTCTCATTGATAAATAACGTAAATAAACTCAGTGACAATAATAAATAACGCAAATAAGCACAACTATAAATAACAATAACAATAATTATACATAACAAGAAGAATTGCAAACAAAATTATTTAAAAAATATAATATGTCGCGTAAAGTGTAACACGTACGTTAATAATTTAAGCCCGAACAACGTTGCGTCACAAATTATTTAAGGGGAAAGGCTCGGAAGGCACACTCGCTTCGTTGCGGAAAATTAACGAGGGCTATGTCGTCCGGTAATATCGATAATCGCAATTTAACTAATTACGAGAGAGACAGGTTAAACTGAATAAACTCATCAGTTCAGCTATTTTACACTTTATTACAACAATAACGTACATACAGCGTTCGACGTGTGTGTCGGCCGAGTCCGGGCTAAGTTCATTCCGTGCGAATTAACGCACAGGAGACAGAACATCACCTTAAAACTTGTCCCGCGAATTCCGCGAGGGCGATGCGAGTTCACGCATACAACCGCTCGTCCGCGTCCGGCCTATACGATGCTCGGAGAGAGAGAGAAATCGAGGCACGCACCGAGAAACAAAAAGGGTACCTGACCTTAGGAGGAAGCGCTGCTGGAGAAGTCCGCGTCTTCTGGGCCAACGATGTCGTCCTCGAAAGGCGGGTTTCTGGATGGATGCAGATGGTCCTGTCCTCCTTTTCTATTCCGTTCACTCGATATGCTTCTCGCACACACTTCTCGGTCGCGAGGCTCAACTCTCCAAATTAATTACTGGTCAAAGCCGCACTGACTGCGATCTCGCGCCTTCCGCGACATCTTACTCGCTCCCTCCCTATAGGTACTCAAAAACGGCCGAACGCCGCCGGCTACGCGCACAGGTGCGACTCATGCCGGCGACACTACTTCTCTCTCTCCTCCTCTGCTCTCCGCCCCTGCCCTATCCCTCCAATGCCAGGCATCTCCGCCGATCAGGAATCAAACCTGCAACAAAGCCACATTGTGCGTCGATACTCGGTTTTAATCAACCAAGACCGATGTGGCAGCGGCTCAGGGGAAGGCACGCGGAAGAGAGAGAGAGGCGAACAGGGCGATCGAACTCAACGATCGATTCGCCCGTCACAAAAGAAAAAGTTCATTTGCTTGTAATTTGAACTGCAAGTATTCAATTTATACTACATTTCTGCACATCCAATTTTTGTTTTCTTTGGGAATGTATAACTTTGATTTTATCGTCGTTTTATTAATATATATCCATTTTATTTGATAGCAACGGTATAATAACAAGGGTTCTTGCGGTCCTCGTATTTTATGATCATAATTAATGGATTAATGGAATCACAGGCAACAGAAATCATATTAAAATATTTTTGAAGATGTGCTATACGATATTATGGAATTTTTGATGGTTGCACGAATTTTCTTATCTACTTAAAACTCATCTTGTCACGCAGATATCATGCGCACATATTCGTGTCACGGCTATATCTCTTTGTTTTGGTATCAGGAATAAGTAATGCGTTCAAATAGTTGGTTATATTGAGGGCCGCGATCACAAAAGAACAAAATATTGATAAAACATCGATTTCACATAAAGTTATTTCACGTCATTGGCATGGTGTAGGATTGTTATCGGGATTCGCACATCAACATGACTCATCCCACGATTTCCCATTATGGTCAGTTATCTATCTAAAGTTTAATCAATATGATCCTTGAAGGGCCGCGAGTAGGGCATGCGAAAGATTGAAAAAAATTTAGGTTATTTCATTGAAAAATTTCCAGTTTTCAAGGTTTTAACGGCCTATTTTTTTTAAATAAAAAAGACTTGGGCACTCAATTTTTTTATAAATGTTAGTAATAGGATGCTCTATCGAAATGGCATATAAATATTTGCTTACAATTTCACATAGCTACAATAATTGCAGTGTTATGGCTATTTCACAAAAGTTAAAAGTTCCGTGGATTTGCCCATATACGTTTAGGTGTGTTAGGGCACTTGATCAAAATAAGGACCATATAAGAAGTGTGACGTCACAGACGTGGAAAATTTATTGTTTACTATGCAAAATCGACAAGTACAAGATTTTAAAATGAACGAAAACACTTTTTTAGTCAACTTCAATGCACTAAACTCGAATTTAAATTTATTATAATAATTTATTATGTAATACTAAGCGTAATTTAATTTGTAAGTAAATATCACGAACAATTTTGCAATATACAAATACCATGCGAATTTGAATATGATACAGCAAAACTAACACCTTAATAAAGAGAAGCAAGAATTTGACACTTTGATAGCTCGTTTTTAAACAGAATTAACAATAAATAAACAATTGATTATTTATTTAAACATTTAAAATTGTGTTGCCAGATCTGATTATACATACTTGTAAAATTAGTGAAAACGATTATTATCCGTTTGTTGATTTTATAATAGCAAAAGAAATTTTTTGTTATAAAAAATTGCAATAAATTTATTGTAAATTTCATGCTAAACATTTAATTAACTGCAGTCTTTTATAATTTTGTAAGAAGATTTTTCCATGAGAAATAATTTAGATCATAAAATTTAGCGTGTTCAACTCAATTTTTTAAATCACAAATTTCTTACTTCGCGCGCACAATTTCACAACAAAGCTTGTTTGAAGTTTGTGCGAGTTTGCAAAAATAGTCTTGTAGGGGCCATCTAGCGTAAAAAAGGATATTTAATTTCGCTCATTGGTAAGAGGTGAATTGTACCTTGCTTAGCAGCGCGAGTACTGTATCTACGAAATACAGTCTCAGCTATTTCCTAAAATACGTTTCATTATTCAGTGATCAGCCTTGCTACAATCTTATTTTACATGATAGTCTAAGAGCTTGCTCATAAGACCATTTCTCTTATAAGAATAAAGTAGTTTTAGACTCCTATAACTATATAATATAATATAATATTATTTTATAATATTATTATTTTATAATATTATTATTTTATAATATTATTATTTTATAATATTATAATATAATATTATTATTAGGAAACATTGTTACAAATTTTATCATTATTATTAGGGCCTAGAAACTCAGCTAAGTTTTGTTGTGGCGCTGTCTGACCTTTCCCAGATAGATGTGACAATACTTAGAAGAAATTCATAGGGCACATCGAAGTCGAGAACCGCATTAAATCAGACTACGCTCATTGCTTGATGATTAAATTTTCATACTATCATTGAAATCCACTCACTTTCTGTCACAAGCCACCGGGGAATAGTCCGATAACAGTTCTCGCAGCTCGACTTTGGGCGATTCATTTCCAAAGGTTTCAGTAATGATTGTTGATGTTCGTATAAGAACACTTCAATCACTACAAGTAAGCCACAGACAACTATTATTTCAATTATTTCGAGTATCAATTATTATGTGTCAACTTCTTATTTGCTCTAAAAATATAATTTGCAATGTATTTTAGACAATTGTGTTTTATTTTATTCTCCATGATAATTAGGTAGGATATTTAAAATCGTACGATGGTGGAGAATTATCCCTCCAACTATTCAATCAAGAAGAAAAATCGTTAATTTTTTCCTCAACCAACGTTTCACTAACTAAAATTTGTCAATCTCAACAGAGTTATTTTTATTCAAAAACTGAAAAAAGATACAAATATACAAATACAAAAATCAAATCACAAAATATGAAAAATCAATAAACCACAAACAAAACAGGAACACTCACAAAGATAGTTAGGCAAGTTATACATTCTCAAACAAATTTTTTTAACATTTCATTCAACAGTAATTATACTATTATTACATGTAATTACACAGGCCAACAAAATTTTACAACAGTCAAGAACCTTAAACCAGATATAATATACTTAATAGATTTTCATGTGCTGACTTCGAATCTAAGCTTAAAAGTGCTCTATTACCCTTGGTTTTCCATATATCTTAAACTAAAAGAGTCACGAACACGCTTTTTCGCTATATTTGACAAGCTATAACATGACGAAGGATATTTTCTGCAAAATTCTGACCACAGTTTCTAAAGGAGCAACTTTTGCGCTACAAAAAGCACTATTCAAAATTAAATTTGTAATTTTTTCAACGGAGATATGGTTGTTTGAAAAATTTTGGATCTGAACATTCCACTATAGATTTATAATAATTCAAAACTCAATATTCACTTATAATGCCTATAAATGCACACGCATAAAAGCATCAGAAGTATGAGAGTCAGCGTATAGCATAGTGTTCAGTCTGCTGAAACCTCATAACCTTAAACTCGATATTTCCTAAGCCAGTAGGAATTCACATATTATTTCTTGAGTAATCCTCAAACCAGAAAATTTGGCGGAATCATATCAAGCTGACGCCTAGTCGGACACTTCGAGTTTTGAGAGCATGGTAATATTAATTTTCGTGTTATTATAAGCCTATAATGGAATGTTTAGATCTAAGATTTTTCAAAAGACCATATCTCTGTTGAAAAAATTAGAAAACTAATTTTGACTAGTAGCCCAAGAGTTGCTCTTTTAGGAACTGCGGTCGGAATTATACAAAAAAATCCGTCGTCATGTTACAGGTGGTTAAATATAGCAAAAAAGCGTGTTTTTGACGCTATTAGGTTAAGATATCTGGAAAACCGAGGGTGATAGAGGAATTTTGAGCCCAGATGCGGAATCAGCACATGAAAAGCTATTAAGTATACTATGTCCGGTTTGAGGTTCTTAAAACTATTGGCCTGTGTTATCAAACAGTGGATAAAACAAATTTAAAATTTAAAGGAATCACTTTTATAAAATTAAAACAAAATGTTAGAAGATCAGGGAAAACCTTTAAAAATTTTTTAAATATTTATCTCTTGTGTATAAAATATATTTTCACCTTCATGTTCCCACGTTAATATCAAGATTGCATAATTTTAGTTATGTCAATGATGCCTAAGACAAAAAATGTCATATTTGACCTTACTCATTACATTATTACAGCAAGAGACCGTGCACTTCGTCCAGGAGGTCCAACATTTATTGGATCTGTTGCAAATCAAACCGCAGCTATTGGGAAAGAAGCTATTTTTTCATGCAGCGTTAGTAATATCGGCAAATTTAAGGTAAAACTATAATTCATAATAAATAAATAAATGCAAATTTATGTTCGGTCTTTATATTTATAAATGTATACACCTATACCTAATATGTATACACAAGTACAGTAACTGTGAGTTGACTAAAATGAATTTATTAATGCCGTTAAACTATGTTCCTTCCATATTAAAGGCAATCATCGTTGCTTTCAAGATCCCATTATATCTCTCCGTTGGGTTTGTTCTCGAGCAATACACCAGTTTCAGGTCATATTGAATTCCTTGTTTCGATAGGTATTCATCCATTAGCCTATTTCTGGAAAACTTCTGGTGCCTTAAATCGCGTGGTTATATATTTATGCAACTCCCTCATGATAGTCTTGACATTCGCTTTTCTGATTGGAATACATTTAATCCAACGTGGGAATAGGTCCATAAATACCATGATATACTCCTAGCCTCGTAAGTTACAAGGAAATGGTCCCATGATATTCGTGGCGCTATCTGCCTAGTCAACCTATGCCTTATCATTTGTCCATAAGGGGGTCGTTGTTTTATTTTGCACTGCAAATTTATCTGGTCATTTTGTACATACTTCTGTAAGTTGGTTTCCGTGGTTGGCCGGTAGTAGATTCATTTTACTCTAACGAAAGTTATATTGCGTTTGACGTGTCCAGCTCGGGGTACATTAATTGTAGTACTCCGCTAGTATTTGGGTCCATGATTGTGTTGGAACTAAAAGTTTCCATGCCTTGTCATCGTCTTTCTCATTTTAACATGTTTGTTTCTTTAATTTCCGACTTCGCGATTCGCATAACAAGAAATAGTCCAAATAACGTCGCGTAACTAATTACAGAGGCCGACAATTTTCAGAGCCTGAGACCAGACATATACTGTATCCGAAAGAATTTGATGCGCTGAATCCAAATCTGGCCTCAGAATTGCTCCATCACCCTAGGTTCCCGAAATACCCTAACCTAAAAGTGCAAAAAACACTGTTTTTTACGGTTTTTGAGGTCACATAGCATCTTAAATAAAATAAATTTTTTTTCCAAAAACGGGCGACAGCATCATAAAGGAGCACTCTGAAGTATTTTCGTAGTTTCATAACAATGTTAAGACAGCCTATATTGCATATGTGAGCATATAAGCCCAATTTAAAAGTAATCGTTTTCGATTGAAAAGATCTATATATGGGTTTTCTTTTAAATCGAAAACGATTACTTTTAAATTGGGCTTATAGTCTCACATATGCAATATAGGCTTATTTAACGTTGTTACGAAACTACGAAAATACTTAACTTCAATCACTGATATCTCGATGAGAAAAAAAGCTATCTCAAATTTGAAAAAAGATTACAGAGGGCAAGAGTGCTCCTTTATGATGCTGTCGCCTGTTTTTGGAAAAACAGACGGAAAAAAATTTATTCAAGATGTTATGTAACCTCAAAAACCGCAGAAAACAGTGTTTTTTGCACTTTTAGGTTAGGATATCTCGGGAATCTAGAGTGATGGAGCAATTCTGAGGCCAGATTCGGATTCTGCGCATCAAATTCCTTTGGGTCTCTGGGTCTGGACTTTCATCAAATTTTGTCGGCCTAGTTACAATACTTCGATGTTGCTTTACGCATCGGAGAAAAAGGCCAGCGAGCTTATCTCCGTGCAAATAAACGTACCAGAGACTCTCGATTGCTGTTAATGATTCCAGCAGCGAAGCGCCCGTTGTTCGTTTCGACTTCTTCGCCGTTTCTACGTTATCACATGAGAAAGCAGATGTCCGTTGGAGTCCCTCTTTATTGTCTTGACACTCTCATAATTAAGTATTTCCTCGCTTAAACATTGTCGCAACGCTGGTCTGGCCAGTACTACTCGTGTTCTTTTGTTCTTCGTGGTATATTCTTGCCCCACCCCTCAATACTCATCGGCTACACACACATTTGCGGATCACGCCGGTGACACTATTTCTCTCTCTTTTTTTCTCTCCCTCCTTCTCTCCTATTGCTTCCGATGCTCCATCTACCGACACCGATCAGAAATTAGACCGAAAACAAAGCCACATCGAGCGTCGATACTTGGTTCGAACTACTAAAATATCGATGTGGCAGCGTAAAAGAGGAGCATGCGGAAAAGAGAGAGAGAGAGAGATGCAAACAGGGTGAGCGATCTCAACGATCGCCTTACCCCTCACAACATTATGTTTGGATTTGAATGGTTTTCTATGAAACTCTAATGGTTTCTTTCATTCGCAGTTCTCCTAAAGGAATTTTTCGCAAAGAGAGTGATTTACTCGTCCGACAAAACCACGGAAATTTGAGGAGAATTAAGTATTTTCTACCTTGTTAAATTTGAATCTCTTCATGATTTTTTTTACTGTGAATAATTAATTAGTTAGCACTAATTAATGCCATGAAAATACAAATAAATTTCTTTATAAATGCTTCAATTACTGTTTCAACAATTTAGTCTGCTAGTGTAACAAGAGTAATGAATTTTGATAATTGATTATGAAAAGAAAGAATGCAATATTTTTTAGATTTGGTGATATTAAATGGCTGTATTATAAGACTATAATATTTTTATATACTTTTTACATTTTAATTTGTTTGTTTGACATTCCTCACATTTCATAACTGTATTTCGACTTTTTCAGCAAAAAGTATTTCTGATTTAATTATATGTATTCTTGACACAATAATTTCCAGAAAACTTAAAAAAATGTATTTCATGGACAAGTATGTATTAAGAAATCTTTTTTAAGTACTGTAAATGACAGTAGCAACTAGCAAGCGTAACACAGACGAAAATAACACTGTGGAGGCTGTGGGGCAACATAGTCGAGAACGACAAATCAGAGTAAGAACTCCTTGATGTCCTGGAACAGAGAATGATTGCCATATAGGAAGTGGCAAACAAGGTGAACATTCATAAGAACGTAAAAAATGATGAGTATTGTCAAAGCCGAGCCATTTTACGAAGACTTCATTATCCCGTCTTCTAAAAATTTTTTCTACAAGATAGATATCAGGATACATAGCTTTCCGTAGTTTTTGCTCGTAAAAACCACCAACAATGGGATTTTCTTGGTTATTTAGTAGGTGATATGTTACAGATTTAGTTCTCGAAACTCGATGAATAGTAAAAGATTTCTGTAGACCAATTAGATGTATATCCATTTTCAAAATCATGTTTAGACTTGCTTACTCGCACTTTGTTTTCTACTAGGAATTTCGGTTTTTTGAAAAGACGCTGGCCGAAAGAGAATCGTGTCATTACTTACATTTCATTCTCTTTTATTACATCTTTAGAGGCTTTATATCTATTGTGTGATGTTTTCGATCATTATAAGATTCTATTGAATCGGGAAAAAAGTCAATCCACTTTTAATTTCCTCTTAAACTATATTTTTTCCACATAATAATTTTGAGTGTTCGATTAACATATTCACAATTTGATGTTTTAATATTGCTGTAAGTAGAATATAGGTTTATTTTGTATTTTTTCATTCGACTTTGGAAATTAGTATTTCAGAACTCTTTGCCTCTATCCATTTGGAGATTTTTAGAAATGCGTCCCTTTTTTTTAATACAGAATCCATTAGTGACATTTGTAGTAGTTTTCTATTTTACTGAAACTCTCCAAGCATATTTTGAGAACATATCTGTAATAGTTAATAGATAGCGGAAACCTTTGTTCTCTCTGAAATAGTCTTGCAACAAGATCAGCTAGCCATGTCTCATTTATTTCACGTATATCAACTTTTTAACGAGGATAGTTTTGACGTGCTGGTTTGTTTAACTCATCAACCAATCTTTGATGTTTCATTTTCAATATTTTTGTTAATATTGATGCATAAAGTCAAACAATATATTCTTTAAGTCTTTGTCCTTATTATTTTCTTGTGATTTCGATCTTATTATATCTAGAGCATTTTTTAAGATTATTTATTGCAGTCGTAAGCGTAGTAACGTCAGTTTCACTAGTTTTTCGCAACGTTCGTAAGTTTACAGCATCGTTACTCTCCTGAGAATCGGCTATATTCTTTTATCAGCCACACTTTATTGTTCGTCTTTAGTGATTTTATACCCTAGACCAGAAGGGTCTCGATTTCCCTCTTTTTTATTCAATGTACGTCCACACATATCAACATTTATTTTATTACTGAGAAATATGTAAGATTTTCTCAATATATATAGGCAGCTTCACGTAATTCTTCAATGATTGAATGAATTTCATTAATATGACTAAGATTACCAGCGGTTTGTTCGCCGATAATTAATCTTAATCGATCAACGAGATCGTTTGAATCATCCCAATATACATAATCAAATGATGTTTCCTTTTCTTGCTATTTTATAGTTAGGTAAAAGACCTGTTCCATCAATAGTCAATTTTCGCTTCTTACGAGTAGCACTACCGCTCAATGATAAAATTGGACTAATATACTTTTTGAATTTGTTTACGTGCTTATAGCCAAATTCTCCATGTATTTTGTATTTCTTACGATGAGCGTTAATGATTTTAAGAATTTTTATATAATTTTCAATATTCGATGAACTGATAAAGGTAGAATCAGGTTTTTTACGAAATAGAAGTTCTATTAAACCAGGCGTTTTGCTGTATGTTTTATCATTCACAGTAATGTTATCGTTTTAGAAAGAAATTGGAGAATTGCCTATGACATATGTATTTTCTTGCAAGCGAAAAACAAATGTTTTGTCTAAATTGCTTCTCTGTTGAGGTTAATGCAAGTGTAGAACATGTTGTTTTTGACTTGAAAACTTTATCGAACGTAATATTCGTAACGTAGTACCGTTAGTTTTATCAATAGCTACCTCTACAAATTTCTTCAATAGATCAATCATATGTTAAAAGTTTTATTCAATGTATTTTCTAAATTAGCTTTGTCACGTTTTAATAGTTGATACTTACGTCTGACGGCATCACGAGCCTCAGATAATTGGTCGAGCCCCTTCTTTTCTCGTTCAAAACCAGCCATGTTGATGCTTGTAATTTCTAAAGTTAAATAA